AGAGCGGAAGAAGCGCGAGGAACTAGAGAGGATCATGGAGGAGAACAACAGAAAAATAGAGGAAGCTCAGAAGAAACTGGTAGGTCTTTATACAAAGTCGTGGATGAACTGAGCTGCTGATCTGACAAGAGTCTTTCTTTCGTTAGGCTGAGGAAAGATTGGCCATGGTCGAACAACAACGTTTGATGGAAGAAGAAAGGCAAAGAATGAGGAAAGAACATGAAAAACGTGTTAAAGAGGAACAAAAGAAAATCCTCGGGAAGAACAACTCGAGGCCTAAATTGTCCTTTACGCTAAAGCCAGTTACGTGAGTCTGTCTCATTTCGTGCAGTTTTACATGTGATATTTATACATCTTGTCGGTTTTGGAATCATTCATATTCCGCAAGAACATTCATCATTAGCTGCGCGTACATATGTACATAAATTATGCAGCAACAAGATCCAAAGCTCACCCGAATGTATTTGCGATAACCATCGAAATCCGGCAATGTTGAATTGTTTTATTTGATTGTGATGATCACACGTACGTCAGAATTGAATAATTAATTCTATACTTGCCAGATTTCGAAGCCCGATACAGATGGGATCTTACTTGCTCGAGACTACACCGATGTCAATACAGAAAAGCACTTCTTTTATGCAGGAACATAATCCACATAATCCACGTACAAGTTGTAAATTTTTTTACGTAATAGCGATAAAAATCTGTACAGGTTTGCTTGATCTGTTTGACGAAAGTGTGGTCTAGCCTAGTTAGGTGTGTTCTACAAATTGCAGATGCAGTTTATACAATGCCGTTTCTTCATAATTGTATTATACAGAAAATAATTTTATTTCAGTTAGATATAATGAAACAAGAATCATATTTAAAGCATTCGCGTTTTCAAACTCGATGGCAGTTGGTAATTTTCAGACGGTCACATTATGAACACGACCAAATAGATTTTGTAATTAAACACAAGTGCATAAATGAATTTTCTACAAGAATAGATAACTATTGTGCATCTGTAGCACTTAATACACAAATCAGTTACGAGGAGATAGTAACAGGAGAGCTAGTTTTTTTTTTTTTTCTAGTACGTTAAACCGAAACGTTATGGATTGTGCATATGTCTAGAGTTTGGACAGAATTTGTTCTGTCAGTAAAAGAAAAGTAAAGTAAAACTGTTCTTTTCTAATCAAAATTAAAGTAAAAATAATGCCAATGAAAAGACAAATGACATGTTGAATGGATTATTTTGTACGTGTCAAAACGTATGAATGCAGCCATGAACAAGTATATCTTGTACGCAATCGTGTATAGATGTGTATTAATATAACGAGAAAAACATCTGTTCATATAGGATTGTATACCCACAACATTGTTACTTGTAAAATAAACACGTTTTTATTAAATCGTTTTCTCCTTCAATTTTATTCTTCGTCATCCTATTGGTCCACGGTGTCCGGATATTTTTTAGAGAAGGGGCTTTTATTATTTTATTATTTATGATTTTTGGGGAGAATTTTGCGCTGAAAATAGAGCTTTACCACGACTTCCAAAAATTGACACTATTTACTGACGATATTGGCAGTCGATAAATGTGCCTCGATATTCTTCAATATTCACGATCCAGAATAAAACAAATTTCTCTGTTAAGCTTCCATGAATTGCTCCTTCTTTATACTGTCCCACGTATTCCTGCATGTTTTATACTTCTGCGTGGCTTTACTCATAGATTCGTCCAACAGCTTTTCAATTTCGGGCTTTTTAAAGATTGGCCTTTGTATTTCGGCCTTAGGTGCACAATTGTTGGTAATCTTTTTTGGCTCCTGGACTTGCACTTCATGTTCTCCTATTTTCGTCAGATCGATCTTCGCAATTTTGTTTTGTGGCTTGATACTTTGGACCGAGTCCAAGACCAATTGAAGCGTATCTTCTTGCTCGCTCATTTCACGGATTACTTCTTTTATAGATTTTAATAAACGTTTGTTCTTCACGATTTTATTTTCGACCAGCTTTTTCTTCTTACGAGTACCTTCGTCATTCTGTACGATATTCGTGAAATCGTAGGATCTCTTGATACCATGGAAAGTAGTTCGCTTGTCTATAAAATAAATCAAACGCATGTCTCATTCTCGTTGCAAAAAGGAACAAAAATTTTCATAAAATACCTACCTGAATGCACGTTCCCCTTATTCTTCATATATTCCTCGAGAGCTGCTTTGTCCTTTAATGCTATTTGATTTTCATATTTTCCAGGAAATCGTGATGTGCAGAATCTCACGCAGTACTTTTTACTCTTCGGATCATTTCTCTGTTTTAAGCAGTTTCTGTTTTTCGTTGACAGTGCGAATTGCGTAAAATCATGCTTGTTTTCCCTTCGTATCGATCGTTTCCTCAAACAGGATTTTGTGGTTCTGTCCGAGTGAACGTGTAACGTTCGATCAAATGTTACTCTCGGTGCATCGAGTGCTTTTTCGTTAGGCTTCGAAATTTGATCGTTGTTCGTGTACAGGTGACTGGAAGTCATTGAAGGTGTTTGGAAACACGATAATGCGTTCAGCGGTTCGTCAAACTCGCTTTCAGAATCGGTGCAAGTGTCGGATAAATTGAACGATATCGAATTTTTATCTGACAGCTGCGAAGTGTCGTTACTCTGCTGTCGAGGTACGATTAAAGAAATTTAATTGGGGGAAAAAGAGCGATTAACCTTTAAAAAGTTACGTACCACAAATTTACGTTTAGGTTGTCGGAAGAATGTGCATTGGAAATTATCATCCTTAACGAGGGTACGATCAATGTCTTCACAATTATTCAGAGACTTCTCCACGGATGTAGTGTCTCCAGAGTTCCAAGATGATTCGACGCACTCCATCCCATGTGACGAGTATAGAGAAAAAGAACATGTATCGTTTAATATTCTTACAGCCGATCATTAAATTTATAAGGAAATTTGTGGTGAACGATGATCTCCATTTGTTTGACTGCTGTACGTATAATTTTGAATTTCTTTCAAGTTGCCATTGATGTTGGTTAATTTATGTGCGTGTGTCAAATCATGATTCCTCGATTGGGAGAGTTTGATTTGATTTTGTTTCAGTATTTTATGCAGAGAATAAAAAATCGAAAGGTCTTAACGATCGGTAGTGTAATTTTTTATTGATCATTTACAAGTACAGTTGAAATATAGACTCCACAGGTTAACAGTGATTGAAAGTAACGAGTGCAAGTTACGAAGATCCTATTTACTTGTCACTTGGTCAGCCTCAGACCAACGGCATACATATCCGTGATGTCTGACAAAACCTTGTTCTTTTTCTGTCGGGGATATTTTTTCGGGACATTACGATTTTTAGTTTTTACCATGACTGCTCGGCCAACTTTGTTCGTTGTTGGCAGGAGAGCCGGCAATGTAGGTGTTTCCGAAGGAACAGCCGCGAGAGCAGTGTTAGTTTTATACTTTTTAATGGCATCCCGTACCGCTGTCTTCATAATCTGACACACGCGAGAAAAAGATATTATTGGAAATAAAATAGAAAGAAAAATTCTAAAAGTATTTCCACCTTGTCGTTGTTTTGTCTCGAAGGTTTTTCAACTTTTGGAGCCAGCTTCGTAGACTGTTTCTGAAAGGCCATAATTTTAGAAACCAAAGATTGCCTGACTGGAGATGATTCCGTTTTGCTGCTAACTGTCCCAGCGAAAGTATGCGATTTTCTCGGCGAACGTGCTAAATGTTTCTAAATATTTCCAATTTCTTCCTTATGATTCTTTCTCTAACAAAATAACGAAAGAATTTCACGATGGTAATACGTACGTGAGTCGATGTAGGAGATTTTGCTTTAACATTATCAATCTGACCAAGCAGAGGTGCACTTTTTACAGTAGATTCCTGTTTATCGATCAGCACAGCAGTTATTAAGGGTTTAGCTGGTGCAGTCGATGGCAGTGCTTGCCTCAGTTTAGGCGAATCTACTTTGTAATAAGCATAAAATTCCTGATCGAGCTGTATTTCTAATTCCTCGATCAAATCAACGATCACTGGACCAATCTGATTATGCACAGTAGATTTTTTCTTCGTTAAGCAGGTCTACGAATAAGTTGACAGTAAGCAAGTTGATACGGTATGGCTAACAAAATTCGAAAACTATTTCTAATATTTCCTTGATGCCTACCATTGGGGACTTGGAAACGAGGCTAACTTTTGAGTCTTGATTGTTCAAAGCGGGTTTCTTTCCACAAGTGGTTATCCTGGTTCCTTGAAGAGACAGGGCTGCACCTAAATATGGTTGACAGCTGGGCATTCTTTGCTTGTAAGCGAGTTCGAAGTGTCCTGTATCCGCGTTCTTGTCTTCCCGGTAATCTACGATTACTGTAAGATCCCACGAAGAATAAGAAAAACAGATTTAGCACTGGAAGAAAGAAGCGAAAAGTCCCAAGCACCTTTTATGGTGTCCTCGAGAACTTGCCTGCACAGGCGCGTCGTAACTTTACTCGAATAGCTCATATCGGGATGGCTATTGATCTCGATCAACCAGACAGAAAAATCATCCATAACCATAAAGTCAGCGCCGTACAGTTCGAAACTATTTTTTCGTCGATCCATGGCTTCCTGGCTAGCTAACAAAGAACCGACCAAACCTTGCTTCATCCCAGGATAAATTATATCGTCCCACGCTTTGTCGTGCCCTTGAGATCTGTCGGAGTTTCGTTAGTTGCAAATTTCGACCTGATCACGTGACTGAATCAAAGTGTATCATACTTGAGAAACTCTTTGAAGGTCGTGGCATCCCACATGTTATCTGAAGGCAACGCAGCATTTCTATCGCCACAATTCGTGTACTTGCACTGGATCGCGTGATTGCACAGATGAATAGACTCGTGAAAGTCTGTCAGACTGAATTTCTGGGAGCAAAATCGGAGATAACTTTCTCTGCAAACAGAGGATACTATATTGCTACACCTTTCTTCGATGTATCGTGTTCCTCGTATGAATTGCATGCCGAAAATATTAGTCGATGAATACGATAGCAGGACCAGCAAATTGGGTTAGAAGAGATCGATGATACAGGGGAGTGAATTTATGGCTGGTAATTTACTGAGGATGCCTTGTTGGAAACGAACGAATTATCCAGCTGTAGTTCTAAATGTATGCCAACAAGTAGCGTCCTTCAAGATTGCAAACTATTTCAGATACACATTGACGATAATTGCAGCGAATGCCCCTTGCGCACGATAATTAAACGACCCAGATATTTATAAACACGAGATAACGTGACACGAAACAGAAATTGTTTCAATTTATCTATACCTGTACTTATCCAACTACGATATATGCACGATAATTATAGTTCGAAGTTTACTTGTATATCCAAAGAGTTAGCGGCTGGGCACAGGTAATAATAAACCACTGTCTAATGTCAAATTTGGTATTATGTATCAGCAATGGACGTTCTATGAAAGAAAAGATATCGTTTGCTCAAAAATATCTCCATTCGTACCCTAACAAATTAATCGGTACTTTGAAGGATTAAAATATCGATTACCGATGTATTTCTGTATGACATAACGAGTGTCGGATTTATTCGACGGATTCATCTTCGCCATGACGTCTTCCAATTTGTTTAAGAGAACGATTCCTCGACCACGACTTTTATTTCCTGGTTTCATAATCCACACATTCATCACGCCGTCCATGTCAATTTGTGGCCAGTACTTCTTGATCTTTTTCAAAATATGCTTCGACGCCAAGAAGAATTTCTGTTCACACCGTGCTAAATTAATATAGTTCCCATGACGTTACTTGTCAGCGAGTCGATCGAAAATGAATAATCTTACTTGAAATGGTACATTGTTTCGAACGAAAAGGGCTTGACCGTGAATGATCTGGTAGTACCAATTAATAAACTGATCCCATTGATGCGCCCAAACCCTTTCGACCTCTTGATCGATATCCTCGTGCGATTGTGCACTGATATAATCGCTGCCTCGTTTAATTGCGAACTCTAGCGCCTTCAAAGGCACCGTGCCAGTCGGTGATCTAACTGCATTTTCACCTTCGTTGTTGATCTTGTCAACTAGCCATTTTAAAAGACTCAAACATGCCGTGAATCTACAAAGAGAACGAAATGGAGAAGGTACAAGTGAAAGGTGTAGAGAAACAGTCTGGAAGGTTTATGCGAATAGCAGATATGGTTCACCGAAAATCTTCTATGAAAGCGTGCATCTGATCGCCTTGACATAAATTATAGCAACGTGGAAAAAGGGTATTTGCCACTCCAGCCTCGTAATACCAGTGCATTTGTCTGACGTTCGAACATAAGCCCACCTGAGGTAATCGATTTTCTTACAAGCATATATTATCCTCGTTCAATGCGTGTCTCATACGACTGGAAGAAATTAACCGATGCCGCTTTAGATACCTTCGAGGTGAATCCTGCACGGCAGTATCTGTTAAAAATCGTTGTTTTGTTCTCCTGTGCTGGCCAGCCGGGCCATTCTGATCCGGTGTTCCAGAGGAAATCCACCGTGTGATTAGTGAGCATCCTGGAGATCAGTTGCCGTTCACCTTGTTGATCCTTCAAATCTCCGATACCAGCTAACAATATCACGGGACTTGCATCCACGTTGAAATGATGTTCGCCTAAGAAAGTTAATCTATACAGTGGCAAATAGAGGGTACGCTGTTCGGAAAGTACACGAAGCGATCGGGGTACCATTAGTATTTTTCCTGAAGAATTTTTCGCACCATCCTCGCTTTAACAGGGATTCGCGAATCACTCGAGTCCTACCGTAAATCATAAACGTGTGATGCGCAGCTATGGCACATTTCACTATTTCCTTGATTCTCATAAATCGCTCGTGCAACGTCGGTGGAAGTTCCAAACCAAGTTGAACTTTCTCTATGCGATACAAACAACGTTAAAATATGCGATAACGAACATATGTTGAAAAGCCGGCTTTACATCGCACCTTGGATTACTTTTGTGTCCGATATAGCAGCGTCTGGGTTTGGTCTCGCATTAGAGTCTAGAGATTCATCCTCGGGTTGCTGTTCTTCATTCTTGTCCGCTTTATCCGTGCTGGTCGGCTCCAAATTCGATGGTGCCTCATCGTTCGCTCTCATGTAGTGCACTTGCAGGCTTATAACTTCTTCTGCACCGATGCGCTCCGTTAGTCTTCAATTTTGCTTCATCGCAGTGGGATTTGTTGGAGGAAGGATAGGTCCGAAGTGGTCAACGTTATTTTATCCTGGATCAGCTTGCAAGATTCAACAATGGTTATTAAAACAGTGTTAGAAAGAATAGAATATTTCATTGCAAGGGGAAACTACGTTAACACCCTGTACATTCGAGTTAAATCACTTCCAGTACCTGTTGAATCTTCGACGTTCCATCAACATTCTTCTATTCAAATTCAAATGAATTATTTCTTGCTTCTAATTAATAATTAATGATTCAAATCGAAAATGCCGAGAAAAGGAATATCTTCGATGTTGCATTATTAGAGATGACATTCCACGGGATACATGTAACAGCGAGTTATTGTGCAGAATCAACGAGACGGAAGCAAGACTCTGACTGAACGTCATCGACGACAGACACGAGGTATGTGTTCAGAATCTAGAATTCCGTAGGCGTGCGCTCTGAAAGCGTTTTAAACCACCCCAACTATTCGGCGGATTGGATAAGATCGCATGACTGTGTCCTCCTCGAGCTATGATCGCATGTCACATTACAAAATTCGCAAACATGGAAGAATCATTCGAGAATAAAGAATCAGCTGACCGACAAAAATGACCATTCGAAATCTTTAAAGATCCCGAATAAAACGAATCATACCCTCTCAAATTATTTTGCTCCCGAGAAATAGATCGATGAAGCTCGTAACTCTGAAATATCGAATTTATTTGCAACGAAATTTGGCATTACCTCGAATATCGTGCAGTTTTCGAAATTTCAAACATGGCGTTAATGGGTTACGTAATCGAAGTTCAGAGTGGGTAAAAACAGTCAGAATGAGTAGGAGGGGGTTGTTGGAATAGGAGGAGCGTACCAGGCACCCCTGCGGAACTTCACGACCATCAAATGCAGGTAAAGAAGCAGAAGCTATCGCGTGGGTTGCCCTAACCACTCCTGTTCTACAAGCTCTGACCCACTTATGCGAGTGCATCTTGGTTCGCGTGAAGAGGCGACCTGGCGAATCACTTCGACCTGCTATCGCTAATTGCCCGAGTTCGATTTCACGCTGATAATTCGGCAAAATATATGCAGCACGTGGTACTATTTTGGAATTCGGTCGATCCTTACGCGCTTCTGTTATCGGACTTCCGGCTGGGTCGATCGTCGCGTGTGATAAGAGCAACGTCAAAGAATTACAGCCTATAAGATAACGAGTATCTCAGAGAAACCATGAATCTACGACGTGAATATGTCAGATAAACGTTACTTTCCCTTGGTTCTTTTCGTGATTTTCTTATTGCTATAAATAATCTTTGATTTCTTACCATTAGATATAGTGCGATATATATTGTGGGAAATCATAGAATACAGCTGTACAACTGCATTCGCAAGGAGCAGGGTACGGTTATACGTTGGAGTAATTCTTACTGGAATATTAAGAAGGGTAGAAAATACAGACGAACTCCGAAAAAACGAATGATCCGAAGGATAAACATGTCACTGTCGATGACAGGAAGTATATGAAAATGTCGAGAAATGAAGTTGATCGAATTATTTTATCCTTAGAACTTAAGAAGCGTTAGTATTCGGTAATTTGAAAAGACATTAACGTGTCGTCAATATGAATAAATGGCTTGGAAACAGCTGGAAAATGGGGAAAAATGTATTCTCAGAATAATTAAGTGAAAGTTACTCTTACTGATAGGAACACGCAAGTAGTAGTTCAAAAATTGCGCGCCATACGGTGGATCGATAAATGGGGGGACTGCGACAATTTATCAGTCGGTATAAAAGTCTGCCGTACCGTTAACCTCTGTTAACCTCAACGCTATTATTTAACTAAAAGTAACTAGTTTTTACATTCCATTAGGGGACTGAATGTACGTGCAATCAGCATGGAAGAGTTAATAAGGAATATTGTTCTTTTATTATTTACGGAAGAATGTATGAAAGAGTATTTGGACGAATTAAATTTCTTTCATGGTAAGTACGAGAAAAGCATAGTTTGAATCGTAAAATCATGATAAAATTTATTTGGACACGTATAACGAATTGTTATCAGGATCACGTGACCATTGTGAATGTACGATATAAAGTAGAAAGATAAAACTGGTTTCAGAAATAAAACTTCTGGTTTATGTATCGTAATGTCTTTCAATTTGAATTTACTATGAAATTTATAATTTTTTGATTTATCTCTTTAGCCTTTACGAATTTAAATATGATTATAATGATTAAACTATAAATAAAAGCTATAGACTATATAGGCTACAGCTAACGACATAGTTGTTATAGATATAAACCCTTCACTTTTCTTTAATTTTTAAAAGACATAGGTAATTTCCTTATATTTTAATTCTGTGTAAAATTCTGTGCATCGAAGAAACAATCGAATTTTGGGATATAGCGAGCGCACGATGATATTCAATTTTTTCTCCCGATAAAATTCGAAGTTATTATTTTTTCGTGACGATTGAAATTAATTTTTTTATATAAGCTAACATGAATTTTTTCTACAGAAGATATGAATCACTACCAGTAAAACGTGAAAATCTTGAACATGTTTCAGTTGGATGCTTTAAATCGACGTTAAGTACAGCATTAGGCTTCGGCATCATCATTGGATCTCTACTCGGTTAGAAAGTTTATTTTTAAATAACCTTTGTAATTACCTTTTTATACACTCTATTTTCTGAAATAAAATTATCTTTATACGCTATTTGTCTATGAAATAATTATTTATAAAGTTAATTTCATATGTAAGATTATTTATTTTATATTAATTTCTTTGTTATAGTTAAGGTACCACAAATTATAAAAATTCTTAAAAGCAAAAGTGTAGAAGGCATCAATGTCTACAGTGTGTTATTGGATTTATTTTCCATCACTTCAATGGTGTCCTACAGTTTTGTTAGTGGTTTCCCATTTAGGTAATATCATTACAGACACAAATAATTTTGATATTATATATTTTATATGTTATGAATAATCAATGAATCAATGAATACATGTTCCAGTGCATGGGGTGATGGAGTTTTCCTAGGATTGCAAACTTTAGCAATTGCTATTTTAATCATGCATTTTAGTGGTAATACAATTCAAGCAACTGCGTTTCTTGCTGCTTATTTAGCTGTGGTATCTGCTGCCACCAGTGGGTTGACCCCTGTGAAGGTTTTGTGGGTTTGTCAAGCAATGGTTATACCCATTATTCTCATCAGTAGGGTACGATATATTTATATATACATGTAACATACAATTATATAGCGAGTGTAAACTCGTTGAAGAGTTACAATTTTATGCTGATTTCAGTTAATGCAAGCGTATACAAATTATTCCAATGGAAGTACAGGTCAGCTATCAGCAATAACCGGTTTTATGTTATTCTTTGGATCTCTGGCAAGAATATTCACTTCTATTCAAGAAACAGGAGATATGACAATGATAATAATGTATATATGTTCCACTACTGCAAATGCTATAATAGCTGCTCAAATTTTGTATTATTGGAATGTAGATACAAAGAGCAATGTTATGACAAAAAAGGTTCAATAAGTAAATAATTATATTTCAAACATTTCGATATTATTATTCCTCAATTTCTCTAAAACATAATTACACATATGACAATTAGGATGAAAATAATTTAAAATATTTGATACAAATCATGGAATCTGAAGAAAATATGGAAATAAAAATACTATAAAAATCTTATTTGTTGTTATTTACAAAATATGTATATAAACAGTTTTAAATTTAATGCAAGTTTTATAACAGACAATTGAATTATTTTAATAAAGGTTAAATTTCAATTGTGGAAAGTCATGTCAACTTAAATTTGCCGCCAAACCGGAAGTGATGTATAGTATGCTTTCTGTGTAAGAAGAGAAGGGGAAAAGAGATTTACGCAGGCGTTTCCAAGTCTGTCGTTTCCGGTTTTGTCGCAATCGTGACTTGTGCAGCGTATGGTGAAATACAGGCGCGCAGTTGTTTAATCCTCGATAATGTTACGTAGCGAGCCGTGATATAGTTGGAAAACACGTTAACAAATCGTCGGACGATAATAAGGGAGCAACGGTGAGTAATAATCCGGGTTCTTTTTTGGCCAGTCTGGCATGCCCATGAAAAAAATGGGCGTGGATGAGTTTGGAATAAAAGAGGGCCATTGGAAGCGTCATGGCGCCATCAGCCTTCGCAATCCGGCTACCCGACGACCATCTTGTTATCGATAAATCAATATAACGCGCCTTTCCTCCTATGTAAGCGTTTTTCTTGAGTAAACGAATATTCTACAGATTTATTCTGTTATATTGTTTGTACGATTCGCCAGAGGAATATCAACAGCTACAGGTAAATTGTTCAGGGAACCGGTTCTTGGTAATTCGCTTTGTCTGAGCGCGTTCTTGCGCAGAATACCATTCCCTTTTGGAGGTACAATTTACGGTCGACGAAACCATACAAAAACCGATACGTTTTTACCGCTAGCATTCGACCGATCCTTAGACGATTGCAATACCAGAATATTCTGGATATCACCGTGGAGAGCGGTTTATCAGTTACAAACACGTGTCCTTGGCCGTTGGATGATGTCTTTTTTTGCATGCCACTTTCGGGCAGTCGGTCAGAGGCAGCTACTAAAAATTTTATCTATATTTGAATAAATCTTGGATGTTGAAGAAAAAAGAGAAAACATTACGAATTCGCCGATTTTCATAGTATTGCAGGACTAGGTTGCTTGCAGTACTGAATCAAAATGGAATCAATGGATGCCCGCCTTGTGGCGCAAGCATTGAACTACCATGGTCAACAGTTGCAGAAAGTGTGGGAGGGAGAACGCAACGAGAATGAGCTGGTCATGCTCAATCTCAAGGAACCAAATTTTGAAATCTATCAACAGCGTCAAAAGACACTGAGGTATACAATTTACAATGTTTTCAAATAATGTTGTAAAACATTTCTAAGTATTTTGTATATTAAAACTTCTTACCTTTTTCTATAACAGTTTTGGTGATAGAGGAAAAAGGCTAAAGCTACAGCAGTTCCTTGCAAAGAAAGCAGATGCCCTGTATGATAAATCAAATTTGGAGAAAACAGTTGATCCTCTCAAGCAAGAATTAGGAGATGAAGGTACGTTTTCTCATTTTATTGCAGTACTAGAACTTTCCACATATTGCGCAATATTGTGCAACTAATCTGTTAATCATGTATTGTTTCAGAATTTTATGCAACAATGCCAGGCCTTGATACGTTTGTCACCATGGAGAAATCTCAACGTATACGTAACTTTTTGGAGGTAATTATTCATTATTTTAATGATTTATATTCAAATAAATAGTTGGATTATTAAGTTGTGATAAAATATTTTTCTTTAGTGTTTGGTCATTGGAGATGTTATTTACGCGCAAGTGATGGGTAAAAGTGCTGTTGGTCTTCTCCTGAAGGTACTTTGCAACTGCAGCGATTGCCCCAGAGTTGTTACTGACTTAGGAGTTAAGGTACATTGAACCTTTCATTATCTATAACAAGTTTCTTTTTCTTTTTTTTTTTTTTTTTTCTTTTTGCTAAGTCATTTTTTAATGCGATTTTGTCGATGAATAGGCTCTAATATTGAACACGGCCACAGTGCCGGCGGTGGACAAGAAAGGTGTAACAAGAAGCTACATGGCAAATGATCTCATCTGCGTCGTAGTCAGTGAAGTTAACGTTGAAGCCGAGCGCGTTGTTGCAGTTATGAACGTACCTGCTCGTGAAGGGCAAGCACCACACCCACCTATGGGACTTATCCATTCTGATGATCTTCCAGAAGCTTATAAGTAAGTAATAAGAAATCTGGATAAGTACATTTACTCCTTGTATTTATAATAATGCTTCACTAACTCTTGTAAACTGACATGTATATCACTATAGGAGATTTTTTGTACACACGATATAAATGGTAAAAGTGTCTTGTGATGCATCAGTAGCACTTTTAATTCAAAATTTTGATTTGAATTATGAATCGTTCTTTGATAATTTGCTTATTGCGATATACCTTGAGAGCACTTGTGCACTAACAGAAGGCAGGGGGAATTTTTTCTGACAGTGGTAGTCTCGAATTTAGGATCGATGTTACAGTTTCGATCGTGGTTGAAATGCATCTTCTATCGACAATGTAGTTATCTTATTTATAACTTGCATAATACGCGACAGTACAGATTTGCATCTTTAGTATTTTGTTTAATATTTTTCGTTAAAAAAGAAGGTAAGGAAAATGGTGGCCAAGAGAAGTTGAGATTTAACAGACGCACTGTGATACTAACAAAACAAGGTAAATTAGATTTGATTCCTCTTACACGTTTTTATGAATTTAGGTGCCAGACACTCTCAGTAACGTAAAAAGTTGATAGTCAGTATGATGATGAATTTATAATGTGATACAAATGATTCAAACCTTGAGCATTGGTTGACATGGCTCTGTTGCGCACAATATTCTATCTACGTTTGTGATATGTTACTCTCAAAGCACCAGCCAAACAATGGCGCCAAATGACATCAATGTCTTTTGAGGTTGCATTTCCAGTATGAGATGTTGAGCCTTGGGTGGTCAGAGTGAGTGCTGCAGACGGTAGGTATAATGATGATTTACTGTTGTTTGGTCTCTTATTATAGTCATATAATAAAATAAGTAAATAATAAAGTGTTTAAAAGATGTAATTTTTCAAACATTTCATCAAAATATTTGTACGTATTGAACAATTTTTTTATTCGAATTTAATGCACAATTAAAGTGCATAGTATATTAGCACGCTTTCGGTGAATGTCTCGGTGTATCACATTGCGAAGTGGAATTAGGCTTTTTACATTTTTCATGAAGTTAAAGCAGAGACCAAATAACTAAAATCTTAATCGCCCGAACCTTTACCTTTAAGCCTCAAAAGAATCGCGCCTTGTCATAATAATGCCTCATTTAAACTTACAGCTTAAATTGACAAATAAAAAATATAAAAAATATGATGTCATGTTTGAATTGACACCACAAAATGCAAAACAGGCGACAGTACTACTACATATAAAAAAAAAATTTTTTTGGTCAACTTGGAAGATAAAATATACTCAGGCGTGGCTCCCAACCTATCCTAGGGCTATGCAATTTATTTTATCGCACCAAAAACTTATAAAAACCAAACCACCGTCGATTGATGATAGGCTGTGTGCTTTTGTGTTGAGAAATCCTCTGATTACAAACATGATACAAAATACTAGAAATATACGTCTTAGCGGTACATGAAAGGTGAGAGACGAGTTTACATAATAATGAGGTTGTGTACCATTGTAAATTTATACGTAAGAAATAATCTGGTAATAAAGGAAACTTACCGAACTTTCTGCAATGTATCCCCGTTTCGGACCCCTGCTGCTTGTTAACGGTACAAACGTAGATTTTGATCGACTCTAATACCATGAGGTGTCTGATAATATAATTCCAAATGGAAGAAACTCTTTTATGCTATGAAGCATCTTTGGCATTAGTGTCGTATCGTTGAATAATTCATGTAGATCGAAGAGAAGAAATGAATCATTACGAGGGATAAATAAACCGATGAAGGGTGCGCCGTACGTTAACACGTGCAAGGAGCAGCAGCATAAGGGACATGCATATTAATATGCATAAATATAAGACGACGAGATGTCGGGGAAAAAAAAATAAATAAATAAAACTGAGGGGGAAACACATAATCAAGTCGGGGGGGGGGAGGGGGGGAAGAAAAAAAAAACCTCTGTCAAGAAGTGAATTCAGGATTTGTGAAGATTCGGTCGTCATGATTATCAAGTCTTTAGTTTTACCGTTAACGAAGTAGCTTTGGTATCCTCTTTTTGGCCGAGGTCAAAACGATTTTTGCATTTTGATAATTGGTCGTTTCTCTTTGTGGTATAGGAAAGCGATGGACAACAAAGGACAGTCTTACGAAGCGATGTTGGAGAATAGTACTGGCTTCAACAACCCGAACAACATTAGATATCTTTGCGAGTTGATGGGTCTCGGGCAAGAGAACCATTCCAATATGGTCGGTTTAAGGTAAAATATTTTTATTCTTCATCAATGACCAATTAAATCACCTTATTGCACGATGCTGAAACACCTTTTTTTTTTTTTTTTCTTTTTTTTGTTTACAGAGAAAGATTTCCACCCAATGAATATGCATCTGAATTAAGGCAGGCGCAGGCTAGTAAATGGGCATTCCGAAGCGTAGCTGAAGGTATAGATCATTTCAAGGCTGGGCGTCACACAGAAGCTTTCCAGTGTCTCAATAAGGCACTTACCGTAGACCCACGAAACGTCGAAGGATTAGTGGCACGTGGAGCATTGTATGTTACTACTTCTATTTTCGTATAGATGAAATATATAATTTAAAATAGCACTGGTTTTATATGTATTCCTTTTCTTTGTTACAGATATGCCAACAGCGGTAGTTTCAAGAAAGCTATCGATGATTTTGAGACAGCATTGAAGTTGAATCAGACTCACACAAATGCCCGTAAATACATGGCCGAAACTCTCGTTGCTCTAGGTCGAAGTTACGAAGATGAAAAGAAGTACGAGGATGCACAAAAGGCGTACGAGAACTGCCTGGCGATTGCTCCATTTCACGAGGAAGCTAGAAATTCTATTGAATACATCAAATCTAAGACATTGACATCTTCTTTGAATCCTTTGGATACATTTAAAAGTTTCGAAACTGAGAATGACGTCGGTGAAAATAAGAAGGAAAAGAAAAAACGTAAGAAGGAAAGAAAGTCGCGCTCAAAGAAAAGGCAAAGATGGAGTTCGAGTTCTAGTTCGTCATCAAGTGGTTCTTCGAGTTCCTCCAGCTCTGAATCCAGCAGTTCTTCTTCGTCTGCAAGTTCACGATCAGCCTCCCGGTCACCCAGTCGCAAGCGAAAACACAAGAAAGATCATCGTGGTTCACTTTCACCTCTTAGCAAGCGTATGGCCCAATACAACAATCCACCAGCTGCTACTACAGCTGCGCACGATGTAATCGCTCCGGTGTCTTATAGTTCTAATACTCGAGATAAGATGGACGATTACGAGATAAAAGTGCGGAAATTTCTAGAACAAACGAAGGATGACTCTGACTATGAAGACAAAGTAAGAATCGTAAATTTGTTTTAACTTAGTTTAATATTTTTATAATTAAAAAATTCCGATCTTTTAATGTATTCAGGTAAGAAAGTTCTTGGAGGAAACTGCGAGATGGAAGAGAGAAAGAGAGAAGGAAAAGAAACATTCGGAGAGTGAGAAAATGAAGAAAAAGAAGAAAAAGGAAAAGAAAGGGAAAGACAAAGAAAAGGACGACAAGAAAAGCAGGAAGAAGAAAAAGAAGGAGGAGAGGAAAAAGCGCAAAAACAAGGACAAACTTGAACGAGATTTAGAAGCCCTGAAAAAATCTTCATTGCCAGATTTAGAACAATTGGAGTCAAAACTGAATGCGTATTATGCAAAAGTTGAGAAAGAGACTGCTGTTTTGAAAAGGTTGGAACCTTTATGGCCAGTTCGTGATCGTCTTCTTTGTTTCGGTTATTTATTTTTTTACAATATTTTTATGTGTGTAATTAATGTCTTATAAAAATAGTATGGGCATTGTTTCGAATATTGGCATTTAATTTGTGTCTTTAGTTTGTTTTCCGTGGTTAATCTAATTTTTTGAAGATACATGAATGGAGACGCGGGTTTTAACCTATCGTATTTTATTTATGTTTTTATATTTACTAGGTATGTAGCTCAGTATAATGACATAGCTTCCCCTCTTAGCAACGCGGAGAAGCTCGCTGAAAGTTCACGAAGAGAGGAAGAGCTGCGCAGAGAGAGGGAATGAGAAAGAGGTGATGCTTCAAAGGCGTA